CTCCCTCTCTGGAAAAATTCCTGCGGATTATGCCCAGTCAGTTTGTGGGTTGATCTTTCCTGTCCTGCTCCAAGAATGGAGTTGTCATTGCATGCCTGCTTGCCTTGGGGTGATTCATTGGCATATGCTAGATGAAAGAAACTGCCCTGGTCCAGAGTAGCTTGGAAAGCTAGACTGACAGTCAAGGGATTACTGCTCTGGTCTTTTCTGAACACGCTTCCTTGGTTTCTGGTCGTCATCCTCCACTGAGTTGTCTTGTGTATGCCAGTGACCAGCAACTGGCAGCTGAATCTGCCCCCCTTTCCTTCCATATATCACTTGATTCAGAAGATGTACTTTTATTATCTAGTCAGCTCTTTGCTCCGCAAAAAAGAGCTTATTTTCAACCTACCCTCTTGCATTAAAGTGAGCCGAGTCTCTTCTTGCACACCACACATGTAAAGCACATTCTCTCTCCCCCCCACCCCCGAATCTTGGGAACTGTAGTTTGTTAAGGTGGAGCTACAAGTCTACGTACCCTTAGGTATCAGACTTTTTGGAATGCGTTAAATAAATGGGGTTTCCTGTCTAAGCATTGATTGAACACAGAGCTGTTTAGTGTCAACTTGAGTTGCTGCATCACATACCTGGGACTAGTGAGTTGCATGTATGGGGCATATGTGTTGCCTGCATAATGAGGCTGTGCTCTTTATGCTGAATTCCCACCCCACCATCCTGAAACCACATTGGATGCTTGCAAAGTGACGAGGAGAGCTCTGTTCTGTTTCAGTAAATTCTTTGGACTCTTTATAGAATCATAGAATCATAGAATCATAGAGTTGGAAGAGACCACAAGGGCCATCGAGTCCAACCCCCTGCCAAGCAGGAAACACCATCAGAGCACTCCTGACATATGGTTGTCAAGCCTCTGCTTAAAGACCTCCAAAGAAGGAGACTTCACCACACTCCTTGGCAGCAAATTCCACTGTCGAACAGCTCTTACTGTCAGGAAGTTCTTCCTAATGTTTAGGTGGAATCTTCTTTCTTGTAGTTTGGATCCATTGCTCCGTGTCCGCTTCTCTGGAGCAGCAGAAAACAACCTTTCTCCCTCCTCTATGTGACATCCTTTTATATATTTGAACATGGCTATCATATCACCCCTTAACCTCCTCTTCTCCAGGCTAAACATGCCCAGCTCCCTTAGCCGTTCCTCATAAGGCATCGTTTCCAGGCCTTTGACCATTTTGGTTGCCCTCCTCTGGACACATTCCAGTTTGTCAATGTCCTTCTTGAACTGTGGTGCCCAGAACTGGACACAGTACTCCAGGTGAGGTCTGACCAGAGCAGAATACAGTGGCACTATTACTTCCCTTGATCTAGATGCTATACTCCTATTGATGCAGCCCAGAATTGCATTGGCTTTTTAGCTGCCGCGTCACACTGTTGGCTCATGTCAAGTTCGTGGTCAACCAAGACTCCTCGATCCTTTTCACATGTACTGCTCTCAAGCCAGGTGTCCCCATCTTGTATTTGTGCCTCTCATTTTTTTTGCCCAAGTGCAATACTTTACATTTCTCCCTGTTAAAATTCATCTTGTTTGTTTTGGCCCAGTTCTCTAATCTGTCAAGGTCGTTTTGAAGTGTGATCCTGTCCTCTGGGGTGTTAGCCACCCCTCCCAATTTGGTGTCATCTGCAAATTTGATCAGGATGCCCTTGAGTCCATCATCCAAGTCATTGATAAAGATGTTGAATAAGACCGGGCCCAAGACAGAACCCTGTGGCACCCCACTAGTCACTCTTCTCCAGGATGAAGAGGAACCATTGATGAGCACCCTTTGGGTTCGGTCAGTCAGCCAGTTACAAATCCACTGAGTGGTAGCATAGTCAAGACCACATTTTACCAGCTTCTTTACAAGAATATCATGAGGCACCTTGTCAAATGCCTTGCTGAAATCAAGGTAGGCTACATCCACTGCGTTCCCTTCATCTACCAGGCTTGTAATTCTGTCAAAAACGAGATCAGGTTAGTATGACATGACTTATTTTTCAGAAATCCATGCTGACTATTGGTGATCACAGCATTCCTTTCTAGGTGCTCACAGACTGTTTGCTTAATGATCTGCTCCAGAATCTTCCCTGGTATTGATGTCAGACTGACTGGGCGGTAATTATTTGGGTCCTCTCTTTTCCCCTTTTTGAAAATAGGGACAACATTTGCCCTCCTCCAGTCTGCCGGGACTTCGCCTGTTCTCCAGGAATTCTCAAAGATGACTGCCAGTGGTTCTGAGATCACATCTGCCAGTTCTTTTAATACTCTTGGATGCAGTTCATCTGGCCCTGGAGACTTGAATACATCTAAACTAGCCAAGTATTCTTGTACTATCTCCTTAGTTATTCTGGGCTGTGTTTCCTTTGCTGAATCATTTGCTCCAAATTCTTCAGGTCGGGCATTGTTTTCTTTATCGGAGAAGATTGAGGCAAAGAAGGCATTGAGGAGTTCAGCTCTTTCTGTGTCCCCTGTTTGCATTTCACCATCTTCTCCTCTGAGTGACCCCACTGTTTCTTTGTTCTTCCTTTTGCTACGGACATACCCATAAAAGCCTTTTTTGTTGCTTTTAACCTCTCTAGCAAGCCTGAGTTCATTCTGTGCTTTAGCTTTTCTGACTTTGTGTCTACACGTGCTGGCTATTTGTTTGAATTCCTCTTTGGTGGTTTCCCCCTTTTCCATTTTTGTACACATCCTTTTTAATCTTAACTCAGTTAAAAGTTCTTTAGATAGCCACCCTGGCTTCTTTAGGCACCTTCCATGTTTCCGTCTCATTGGTATTGCCTGACGTTGTGCTTTTAGTATCTCCCTCTTAACAAACTCCCAGCCATCATGAACTCCCTTTCCTTTTAGTATTACTGTCCATGGGATCTCACCCAGCACTTCCCTAAGTTTTATGAAGTCAGCTTTCTTAAAGTCAAGAAATTGAGTCCTAGTATGCTTGGCTGCTCCTTTCCGCTGTATAGTAAACTTCAGAAGAGCATGATCACTCGCGCCTAATGATCCTTCCACTTCTACCCCACTAACCAGGTCATCAACATTGGTTAGGACCAGATCTAAAATGGCTGTTCCTCTTGTTGCTTCTCCCACTTTCTGGACAATGAAGTTGTCTGCAAGGCCAGTGAGAAATCTGTTTGACCTTATGCTCTTGGCTGAGTTTGACATCCAACAAATATCCGGGTAATTGAAGTCCCCCATTACTACTATCTCCCTTCCTTTTGCATGCTTGGCCATCTGTTCCAGGAAGGCATCATCTATGTCCTCCGTTTGGCTTGGGGATCTATAGTAAACTCCCACAATGAGGTCACTGTTATTCTTCTCTCCCTTAATTTTGACCCAAATGCCTGTGTGCTTTTATCTGAAGACCTGGTGTGAGCAACTTGGGATAACTTGGGGTGCCTTGGAGGAACCGCAGTCCCAACAAAGCATAAGATCTCATTCTGTAAGGTTACTTGCTTTAGAAAAACAGCTTGCAAAATTTACCAGCTGTCGCCGTTGTCTTGTGTGTGGTTCTGCTGTAGTGATAGACTCCGGTTTTGTCATCTTAGTTTGGTAGACAGCATCTGTCGATGCCAGCAAACAGTTGCTGTAACTGTGTAAAGATTTGCTTTCTTGTGATGTTTAAGTTTACTTTTGAAGCTGTTCTTGTGCAGTGGTGGTTTTCAGATTGACTAATCCACCGTGGATCTCTGTACATGTTGCAGAGCGTTCTGGGGTGAATTCTAAGTCTCATACTCTATTCATATGTGCAAAGTTTGGGAATGTTGGGCTGCTTTGAAAGTGCTCCACAGAGTGTGTGCCTACAGCAGCCTTTGCTTACCTGGTTGCCCTGTCTGCAGACCAGCCATGAACTGTGGTCTATGGTTACAGCTCTGGAGCAAGAGAAGCCGCAAAGCCTGTGATTGGATGACATGCTAGGCCTCACCATGGCTTATATGGTACCAGAAGGGACCAGAGGGAGGATCAAAGCAGCTGCAGTCTTCTCTCTGGAAACCTACATATTCACACTAAACTGTGGTTAGAGTCAGAGTCCGATATAGGAGGGATGTCCAACAGGTCAATCGTGATCTTCTGGTCGATCGTCTGTGGTAGATCATGGTTGATCACGAAATCAACCTCCCCCCCCCCAAGCTGAACAACTTTGGCTTCCTAAAAAAAGCTCAACCAACTGCAAACCCAAAATATAGCAAACCCAAAATATAGACGCACTTTTACCCTCGCAAGATTGAATGTATTACCCTCGGCTGTACTTGATCAATGATTCCTACATATTCCACATGAAAAACGCTTATGTCCCTGTGGAGATGGCAGTACCAAATCAGTGGGGCAATGCCCTTCTGGCTTGCACTCTTTATAAAGACTTGAGGAATGAGATTATCACCCCTCTCTTATTGTCCATTCTGGGTTGCCCAATCACTGCCACAGTGTCCTTTCCCCTGGCCGATCAAGAGGAGCAGATGACTCTGGAAACCTGCATATTCACACTAAACTGTGGTTAGAGTCAGAGTCCAGTATAGCAGGGATGTCCAACAGGTCAGTTGTGATCTACTGGTCGATCACGGGTGTGTGTGTGTGTCTCCATCTCCGTCTCCGTGGTAGATCACGGTTGATCGTGAGATCCTTCCCCCCCCAAAAAAATCTCAGTAATTTTGACTCCCTTAAAAGAGCTCTTTGGCTCCCTAAAAAAAAAAAGCTTAGCAACTTTAGTCAATCCAATGGGCAGATCACCGCCAGTTTTTTTAATAGTGGGAGTAGATTGCAGTCTCTTTTAATTTGGACATCCCTGCTGTATAGCATTTCAAAGTATTCAAAGCCTTCTGCATATATTATATTGCTCTAATCCTGTGCAAGTTAGGTTACTATTATCTCCATGTTGAAAATTGTGGGGTAGGGGAAGGAAAGGCTTGCATAGAATCATAGAGTGGGAAGGGGCTACGAGGGTCATCTAGTCCAACCCCCTGCAATGCAGAATCTTTTGCCCAACGTGGGGCCTTGAACCCACAACCCTGAGGTCAAGAGTCTCATGCTCTTCCAACTGTGTAGACCTGTTGAAACTATTGAACTTAAAATTGTCATGTGTCTATTTACCTCAATGGTCTACTCTGAGTAGGCATAGTATTGGATACAACCCAGAGACAGGAGCGGAGATTCAGGCCACCCGATGACTTTGTGGCTGTGGTGAAATTCAAAGCAGGGTCTTGCTGACTCGTAGCTTGATCTCCTAGGCACTTGCTTTAGGTTGGTCATCAAGCTAATCAGCTTTCTTTTTCCCCAATGGGATGCATAGACTTTGTTGAAATAACTGCTGTGGCAAGAGGGAGAGCAGCCTGGTCCTATCTATCAGCTAGAGAAGGAAAGCTTCTCTTGCCCAGAAGAACATTCAGCTCCCAACTTCCAGATGAAGGGCAGCACACTCTGACCTGCTTCCTCTGCCTCCCAGGAAAAACATCTCGGCAAAGGGGAGCCCAACCTGGTTCCATCCATCAGGCAGAGAAGAAAAAAACTTGCTGTTCCCCCTTGCAGGAAAGAATAACTAACAGGAGCTTTCAAAACAAAGAACTAGGGTCTGTACTTACGCAAGCATATCCCACCCATGAGGTGGGGTGAAGCTGCCCCAATGGGTGCCAGAAGCCCCCAAGCCAGTGCCCCCATGGGTTCCCTTCTGCCCCCCACCAGCAGAGAAGTTGGTGCCAATTTATAGCGAGATCTCATGGGATTTTACGGAGTGTGCAAGATTTCTGCGCCAGTGGAGTTGGAGTGGGCGGCACAGGGGCGCCGCCAGGGTTAAATGGGATGTGCCACCCCTGCACTTATGTTTTTCCTTCTCCCTCCCATTCCCTTTTCCTTTTGTGTTGTGTCTTTTATATTGCAAGCCTGAGGGAAAGGATAGTTTCATTACTGATGGGGAGCTGCTGCTTTTCTTTTCTTTTTTTTTCAGCTGGAGAGCAAGGTTAAAACATTTTAAATAAATAATAAGTGAGTTGGACCACCAGAAAGTTAAAAGGTGCTGCTGCTGACTTGCTCTACACATCTTATTATAGATAATTTCTGTGACTAATCCTTGGGCGTTTGCTTTGCGCAGAAAGGCCATCTGTCAAAGAGAGCGCCACAAGAATACACCCTGTATTTTGTTTCATGTTCCGTCTTATGAGCAAACCTGCCTCATATTAGAGGACAGTTGGTGCCTCTTACAAGTTGGCATCAAAATGCCCTCTTCTCTCTCATTTTTGTGCGGCAGTTGAAAAGGGATAAAGCAGCAACCCTTTTGAAAACAAGTGTCATCATTATGCGATACAAGTTGGAGCTTCTATTTTGCTCTTCTCTTTTGTTCCCCTGCAGGGGGAAAATGAGCTTGTACCAATCATTTCCTGCCTCTCTTTCTCTGTTTGTTTGTTTGTCTGCCTGCCTCCCTCTCTTCCCCATCTCCAGAATCTGGCTGTTCTGGTATAGGATTGGGAGTGCCAAGGCAAATGGAAAGTTTGCGGCTGGATTGGTGACCACAGTTTCCTGTTGCTAAGTTTGATGGAATAATTTTTTTTTTTAAGAAAAGCCAACAGCACTGTATTAACACCGCTTAAAATCTTCAGAACTCTGTGTAACCCTCCGACACATTTAGGTTCACAATAAATCCCAAATGAGTAATCACCAGTATATACCTCCCATTCATTTCTGTGTGCAGGTGTTAACATAATAAACTGCTTTATATTGAGTCAGACCATAGGTCCATCTAGCTCACTATTATCTACCTAGATGAGCAGTGGCTTTCCAGGGTTCCAGGCTTTACCTGGAGATGCAGGGAATTGAAGCTGTTTGCAAAGCAGATACTCTACCACTGAACTGTGGCCCTTGACCTAAAAATAAAGTATGATTCTACTCCTCATGGATCTGAAGAAAGGGTTGAGTCAGATCTTCAGTTCATCTAAGGTAAAAAAAAGGTAAAGGAGCCCTGGACGGTTAAGTCCAGTCAAAGGCGACTGTGGGGTGCGGAGCTCATCTTGCTTTCAGGCCGAGGGAGCCGGCGTTTGTCCGCAGACAGCTTTCCGGCTCATATGGCCAGCATGACTAAATCACTTCTCTCTTTTTTTTGGTAAATGCTCTTTATTGATTTTATTAAGTGTTACAACTATTCTGTTCGTTGTTAAAAATAAAAATAAAATAAAAAGAGGGGTGGGGATGCAAACAAACAAACAAATACAACAGTAAAAAAACCCCACAAGAAACATCAGAACATGATAGTAAGATTCAACATCAAAAGCTGTCGATACAATAAATCAAAAATAATTAACCTTCTACTGTTTGAATGTGACTTCTGTCCACCTTACCTCGGGTCCTTTCTTCCTTTTTTAACTGCATCCTTTATCATCTTACAGTTCACCAGTATTATATGTAATACATTATCTGTCTGTCATATATTCTGCGAAAATTAATCAGAGCACATCAAAGATGTTACTTGGGAACAATGTTGTTTTTTTAAGTACACTCTATAACACTCCCACTCTTTTTTAAACTTTTGATTTGGTTGATTCCTGATTATTTCTGTCATCTTTCCAAGTTCCATATACTCAAGTAGTTTTATCTGCCACTCCTCTTTTGTTGGAACTTTCTCTCCCTTCCACCCTTTGGCTAAACCACTTCTGGTGCAGTGGAACACCGTGATGGAAACCAGAGCGCGTGGAAACGCTGTTTACCTTCCTGCTGCAGTGTTACCTATTTACAGTGGTACCTTGGTTTAAGAACAGTCCTGTTTACGAACGATTCGGTTTACGAACTCCGCAAAACCGGAAGTAGTATCCCGGTTTGCGAACTTTACCTTGGTCTAAGAACGGAATCCAAATGGTGGAAGGGCACCGGTGGTGGGAGGCCTCATTAGGGAAAGTGCACCTCGGTTTAAGAACATTTTCGGTTTAAGAACGGACTTCCGGAACGGATTAAGTTCGTTAACCGATGTGCTGGGAGGGAATCTGGTCTAAAACACTTGCCAGTCAGTCAAGGTACCACCAACCTTTTCAGACCCTGGACACACTTTTAATCCAAACATGCATTTGGGGAGCCATTTCTTTTACCATACATCTGCATGATGGTCGTGCACCTGTTGCAACCCACCTTAAATCAGACCAGTGGTGTAGACAATACTCAGCTACGTGGATCAATGGGCTGACTCCGTATAAGGCAGTTTCCCATTTTCCTATCTGGAACTCCAATTTTCCTCCATGGTACCATTTTTTTAAACAGTGTGTTTTTAAAAAGGTAAAAGGTTAAGGACCCCTGAATGGTTTAGTTCAGTCAAAGGCGATTATGGGGTGTGACACTCTTCTCGCTTCAGGCTGGGGGAGCTGGAGTTTGTCCACAGACAGCTTTCCGGGTCATGTGGCCAGCATGACTAAATTGCTACTGGTGCACAGAGGACTGTGACAAGTGCCAGAGCACATGGAAACACCGTTTACCTTCCTGCCACAGCCGTACCTATTTATCTACTTGCACTGGTATGCTTTCAAAATGCTAAGTTGGCAGAAGCTGGAACCTGTTATTTGACTAAACTCATGCCTGTCTCTTTAAATGCTTTTAATGAGATGTGGTTTCAAGTGATGCTTATTGCAGTCTTGGATGGCTGCTACAATAATGTCCCACCCGGGTGGCAGATTTTGTATTTGTGACCAGCCACAGGTGGAAGACATTATCCATTATTTGTTAATTTGCCCCATCTACAGGGATCTGGATTTTTGAAACCTTTGCTAATGCATGGAAGTAGGCGTACTGTGGCAAAAATGGTTCCGTTTCGAGTGATCCTAATAGCTTTGTGACACATAACATGGTGCTTTATGCACTGGCTGCAAAAATGATGAGAGAGAGAGAGAGAGAGAGAGAGAGAGAGAACATTGCTATAAGCTGATATGGAGAAACAGAGGTTTAACTGGAAGCTGAGCTAGGTTTGAGCTAGGCAGTGCTTTTTCTGACTTCTCTTTCTTCCTGTTACTGAGGTTTGTTTTATATTTTTGGCGTATGTTTTTATTATGGTTTGTAGTTCAGCAAACTGTTCTGAAATAGTCTTTACCTTTGGCTAGTACAATAAACTTATTGATGATGACGAGGAGGATGTTTCTGTCCTGCATCCCTGTCCTTCAGTCTCCTTGGAGCTGGTCAAGGAGAGATGCACATGTTCAGAATGAAGGGTGCTGTGACATTTTACCCTAGAAAGAACCTTTCATCTTATAAATGCATTGAATGTGAGTTTCCTGCTGGAGCTTGGCTTCCATTAGGCATCCCTTTAGCCACTGTGAAAACAGAATACTGTATTTTTTGCTCTATAAGACGCACCAGACCACAAGACACACCTAGTTTTTGGAGGAGGAAAACAAGAAAAAAAATATTCTGAATCTCAGAAGCCAGAACAGCAAGAGGGATCGCTGCGCAGTGAAAGCAGCAATTCTTCTTGCTGTTCTGGCTTCTGGGATAACTGCGCAGCCTGTATTCGCTCCATAAGACGCACACACATTTCCCCTTACTTTTTAGGAGGGAAAAAGTGAGTCTTATAGAGCAAAAAATTCGGTACTGGACTAGATGGGCCTTTGGTTTGATCCAGAAGGTCTTTTCCTTGTGTTCTAATGGGATCAGTATCGGGTTGACCCTGGGGCAAATGTGGAGTGCAGCAACCCAGTGCTCTAAATGATTACATCTAGTATTGTTCCACTTTGTGGTTCCTGATGAGAGAAGCTCAGGCGCTTTACCGACTGGGCTGTGTCTGCTAGATTTGTTTGTTCCAGGAAGCATGACATAGCCCGTAGAGCAGTGCATCAGTCCAGTCATTGCCTCTCTCACACCCACCAGCATCCTCTTTCTGACTGGGGTCTGCCATAGGGCAGCGAAGGCCGCTCATGAAGATGTGTAGGCATTGGAACAGCTGATGGCTTGGCCCTTTTAGAATCCCCTGTCTGTTTTCTTGAGCGTAGTTAATTTCTGAATGAAGCAAATCTCACCGCTGGTAAATACCCAGCTCAATTTGCTTCGTGACTGAACCGTGCAAAGGTCATGTTCACTGCAAACGCTGCCTCTGAGCTCAGCAGATCTCAGGATAAACTATTTGTTTTTGGATTACTCCAGCAAGCAGCTTTGAAGTCCTGGCTCCTTAGGCATGTTTATAGAGAGTTCCAAATGGAGAAGCAAAAGGTACACTGGACTGTATCTGAAATGTGTTGCTGAGGTCTACAATTCCCCCCCCCCAAACAAAATGCATTGAGTATGAGAGCAATCATTCATTGCCTTGATTAAAATCCCGCAACGTGCTCTTTGTGCATGAGGACTGTCTGGAAGTTTCAGTTCGAGGGAAGTGATTTGATTTTGATTTATTAGACTTGTTTTAGTGAACGAACCATAGCTCAGTGGTAGACCACCTGCTTTTCCTGCAGAAGGACCTGGGTTCTATCCCCAACATCTTCAGGTAGGGCTTGGAGTGTCCCATGCCTGGAACCCTGGGAAGCTGCTGCCAGTCAGTATAAGCAATACTGAACTAGATGGACCAGTGGTCTGACTTGGTATAAGGCAGCTTCTTGTGTAGAGACCCCCTTTGTCTCTATTGTATGTAGAAGACAATAAAATGCCAGAAAAACTTTGAAACAATACAAAATAGCTGCGTAATAACAATTGTTAAAGAAACCACCCATGCTTATGCCTGGATTGCATAGCTGTAACAATGCCATTAAAGCTGCCCAGGAAAAAAAACACAACACTTTCACCTGATGCCGAAATGATAGTGAAGTTGGAACTTGGTGTACCTGGGGAGAGTATTCTGGGGACAGGCTATTGCAAAGAAGGCCTGTTCTCTGGCCAGCGCCCCCAATACTTAGTGGGGCACAGAGCATGTCAGATGCCTATTGCAGTGTCCTAGCAGGTTCATAGGGGAAAGGATGTTCCTTGAAAGCAATGAAATAGGTTGAAAATGAGGAAGTGTGGTGGTCGTCCACCTCTTCATATTGTCCTACTTAGCCAATGTGGTGTCCTCTCAAATGTTGTGGACTACAACTCCCATTAACCCCAGCCAGCATAGTCCTCAACATAGATTTGTTTTTTGTTTTTTTGCATTTGTATCCCAGCTTTTTCTCTCGAGGACCTCAAAATGGTGTACACCAGGCATGTCCAGCTCCCAAGAGACTGCGATCTACTCTCACTATTAAAAAAATGGCAGTGATCTGCCCAAATTTGTTGAGCTTTTTGGGGGGAGATCACGTGCCTTGCTGGCTGCCCTACAGCTGAGTGAGAGCTAGCAGGGGACCTTTTTTGGCAGTGGGAAGCCTGCGTGCTCCAAAGCCACAGCGTCTCTCACAGACGTTGAGTGCTGTGCAGCATATTTTTTGGGGTGTGTGTGTGTGTGTAGATCGCTCAGGATCACGCGATTGACCAGGGGCGCCCCGCAATTGACCAGTAGATCGCGATTGACCTGTTGGACAGACCTGGTGTACATGATTCTTCCCTCACAACAGCCCTGTGAGGTAGGTTAGACTAAGAGGCTGAGTGGGGACTTGAACCCTGGTTCCCCAGGTCCTAGTCACTACACACCATGCCGACTACCGAAGATCTAATGTAAAATTCTGGTCCTTTTTGTATGGTTACCATCCACCTATCCAGGTACTTGTTTTGAACACAAACACTCACTATGGGGGTGGATCTGCTTCATTCTTATAACACATGACAAGGTCAATTTCCTGGATGCCTCAATTGAGTCTCTCAAATGTTAGGCCTGTGTACAGGTTTTTGGCAGAAGTGAGGGCAAGATGTTAAAAGTCTGCATGCAGCCTTGAAGATAATTTTCTTTGGTTTCGCCACCCCTGCTGCTTATTGAAAGAAAGGGAAATACACTTTGCAAGAGAGAATCTGCAAGACCAGGTGAGCTTTTCAGCAAAAGCTCAGCTTCCAAGTGCAGCTTACCAGGCAGGCACACTGTAACAGGGGTCAGCAAATTTTTTTCAGCAGGGGGCCGGTCCACTGTCCCTCAGACCTTGTGGGGGGGCGGGCGGACTATATTTTGAAAAAAAATATGAACGAATTCCTGTGCCCCACAAATAACCCAGAGATGCATTTTAAATAAAAGGACGTATTCTACTCATGTAAAAACACGCTGATTCCTGGACTGTCTGCGGGCTGGATTTAGAAGGCGATTGGGCCAGCCCCAGCCCCCAGGCCTTAGTTTGCCTACCCATGCTATAAGCTCAAACTGCAAGCCAGCTTTCAAAGTTTTTAAGAAGATAGAGCCGAGCAGAAATTGAGATATCCACCGTTCATGCTAGAAGAGGCTGCCCTTCTTAACCTTCCTGCCATTTGTTACCTCCAGCATACGGGGGAATATCTTGAGCTTCATGCCCCCTCCCCTTCCCCAAAACACCACGGCCATTTCATACATTGATAATTCTTGCTTGAAAGAAGATAGGAGCGCCGGGCAAACACATTAGGTCAGAGACTTGGCATTGGGTCTGTTCAACATCAGGACTTTTTTCCGTCTGAGATAATAGTACATGTCACAACAATTCATAGCCAAGCTCTAGATCCTAGCTGCCTGAATGCTTCCTCCCCTCTTCCTTTTTAATTTTTTACCCCCCTTTCAAGGAGCTCCGATCCTCTCTCCCATTCCTCCCAACGACCCTGTGGGGTAGATTAGGCTGAGAAGTTAAAAGCACAGGGGCTTCTTCATAGTGAAGCGAGGATTTGAACGCGTGCCTGAATCCCAGTTCTCTGTCCACGGCCTCTTTGCTCAGCTGTGACACAGCATCTTCAAATGTTGCTGGGCTGTGGCTTTTTTTTAAAATTCCGCATCGGTGGTGTAGTGCAGCGACAAGGAAGATGGAGATACAGTTTCCTTCTCTGATTCTAATCTGTTTGGCACCCTGAAGTCTCCCTTGCTTTTTCCGAGTGCTGTGGGTGCAGTTCTTAACTGATGATTATCTGACACGCGAACTCTGATGGATGGAGACAGCTGGGCCATGTCACTATCACCAGGAGAGGCTTAGTCATTTATTTCCTTGTTCTCTCTCTCTCTCTCTCTCTCTCTCTCTGTGTGTGTGTGTGTGTGTGAGAGAGAGAGAGAGAGAGAGAGAGATCCTACATTTCTGGACCTTGCAAGGTGCAAGGTGGCCTTGTGTTCTCTCTGCAAGAGGAAATGATGTGGTATTGTTGGCAAAAAGCTCATGCCTTTCCCCTCAGTGGCAAATAGGACCGGGCAATATATTGATATATCATCCAAACCCAGTTTGAAGTCCCTATCATTATATCGGTTTCAGAATTTTTGCCCTGGCAATATATCGCAAATCATGGGGTGTGGGATCACAATGTGGGAAAACTGTGAAGCCAGCCAATGTGTCTCTCAATTCCTGCAGCCCCTATTAACTCTACTGGCTCAACTCTCCCCTGCCTCATACAGGAGGCAGCAAATCGCAAGAGCCAGCTCCGGCAAAAATCACGATGCAGGAAAAACCTTGAAGGCAGACAATGCCTTTACATATCTCCGTCCTTATTTCAGACATTGTGATATATCGGTATATACCACAATGTTTTTAGCTGGTGATATGTCACAGTGTTGAAAACCAGATACTGCTCAGCCCTAGTGACAAATAATCTGTGAGATGTCTCTTGAAGAATTGTCTCTTCGGAGAAGATGCTTAAGAGTTCCTTCTCCACTTTAAAAAAATAATGTCACCCCATTCTTTCGCCACGTTCATTTCAATACAAAGTAAGCACAATGTTGTGGGGGGCACATAATGATTTAGCAACAACAGCAACAAATACTGACTGTATTTGTCGGATGGATTTCTGTTCCAGACATGAGACGAATATGCAAGCATTAGCACTGTCCTCTGCATTTTGTTTTCATTGGAATTCTTCAACATCCCTATTTTGCACCTTTGTGTTCAGATACATTGCAAACGCGGGTGGCGCTGTGGGTAAAACCTCAGCGCCTAGGACTTGCCGATCGTCAGGTCGGCAGTTCGAATCCCCGCGGTGGGGTGCGCTCCCGTCGTTCGGTCCCAGTGCCTGCCAACCTAGCAGTTCGAAAGCACCCCCGGGTGCAAGTAAATAAATAGGGACCGCTTACTAGCGGGAAGGTAAATGGCGTTTCCGTTGTGCTGCGCTGGCTCGCCAGATGCAGCTTGTCACGCTAGCCACGTGACCCGGAAGTGTCTTCGGACAGCGCTGGCCCCCGGCCTCTTAAGTGAGATGGGCGCACAACCCCAGAGTCGGACACAACTGGCCCGTACGGGCAGGGGTACCTTTACCTTTACACTGCAAAAAATAAAATAAAATAAGTTCTCTGAAATTTTCCGAGAAATGTCTTGTATATGTTCCTTCCCAGACTCTGACGGAATTAGATTCCTTCCCCCCTTTTTAAAGAATGATGGCAAGCAGCTGATGTAAGCTTAGGGCAGCGTTCGCCAGTTTAGCTCTCTGAAGATGTTTTGGACTACAACTCTCATCAGCCCCAGACAATGCTAGGACTGATGGGAGTTGTAGTTCCTTCTGGAGGGCACTATAGTTGGTGGAGGCTGGAAGACTCTATGGTAGGGTTTGCCATATTTCAAAAAGTGAAAATCCGGACACAAAAGTTGCTGTTTACAAAAGGCTCTGTTTACAAGGGCCAAATACCGGCTATGTCCGGGAAATTATGGCAACCCTACTCTACAGCCATCATCACTTGCAGCTTCCTGTCAGAGATTCCTAATCTAGGTGTGGTGAAGGAAGAGAGAGCTGGTTCTGGCTGACTGCTGAACCCTAATTAGCCTCAGTTCTGGCTTGTTTTTCTTACCCTGGCTCCTATAAAGCAAAATGAAAGGGGAAACCAGGTTTCCCCCTTGCAGACGTCTAGCTTAGTTCAGGGATGGCCATCTTCAGTATTCAGGCATGGCGAGCAACTGATGCACCAGGTCTGTGGGCTGGAAGCATACTTTACTGCTTAGCCCAGCTTCTTTGTAGCTGTTCAGCCTTCTTAGCCTGTCCCTTCTTCTCTCTACTAGAAAATTAAAGGGAAAAAAGTTTCTCCATTAGATCTTATGCTGTATTCCCGCTACCCCCCCGCAGCATCTGCATTAAATAAGCTTCTTTAGCAGAACTTGATCCTCTTATGAAAACAAGGAATAATGTCAATGTCTCCATATGGGATTGATTAATTTTTTTGTGTTATGTTTTGAAGGAGGTCTTTTGTTTTGGTTCTAGTGGATGTAAAAAAATATATCAGACGTTGATCCTGAACAATAGGCTGCTAACGGAGGTAAATAGACGAGGAGTGGGTTGCCGACCAACTAATTAACTATCCCCAAACTGGACGGAATTTCTTTTTTTCCGCCTTCTTTCCTTGCTTTGCAAAATAATCTCTTGTAATCCTTGTTAGGTCTCCAAATCCCCTTATTGTTGTTCTGTATTGATTTCACTGGAATCTGCTTTTGTGGGATTTATCC